ATCAGTGAGCCCACTCTGGGCACACCTGATGTTCACCATTCGTTTTTAGGCAAGATTTCAAAGTAAAAATTTAAAACTAGTATAGAATAAGGAAATTAGCATACAGCCAAGAAAATAACATAGAAATTTCTTGTCAAACAATCCTTTTTATATCCTTAAAAAAAATCTTTACGATTTCTTTGAAAAATGAGTGTCTTTAAAAACTAAACATGGCTAAAATATATGGACTGGTTTGTCTTGGGCTGCCATCTACTATAAATAAAGACAGTTTAGAGTAACCTTATAGTAACCTAAAAATTCTTTTTCATTAAATTTTCCTGTGCATACAGAGGGAAATTTTTAGGTGTGCCCAGATCGGGTGTACCATGCCACAAAGGGTTAAAGAAGTTTGGATTCCTTTCATCAAACAGTATCAGCAAATTAAAGATATTATTGCATGTGTACTGGTTCATTAGGGATTGAATGCACACAGAACCATGATAGCTTGATCAAATTTATTTTCACAAACGAAACACTTTACAATTGTAGAACTTTCCACAAAAGTACTCATACGCCTCTTCCCAATATGGTAGAGCACAGTCAGCAGTTACTGCTTTAAACTACTAAGAATGATAAATAGAACACAATGCAAATAGCAAAGCTTGCACAAAGATCCAACTTCGAACTGATGCTCTCTCTCTGGGCTTATATAGTTTTCTCCCCGTGACAAATAATCTCTAGTACCTTCCATTTTTTGAAATTATTGGAAGGCCTATAGAGTTAAAGTTACATATAGGGATCAATTATAGTTATACAAGGACCAGACCAAATGGTCACCAAGTTTCTCGACAAAAATCAGTTGCCAAAACCACCACCGCCAGCTTGGCAATATCTCGCTTATTTAGCAAAACAGCCATTTACCTCGATGTTCAATATATCTGCTACTTTGCAAGCAAGTAAGATATGTTTAAATATTACAAATACAAAATAAAGCAGCTTATCTTCTATAAAGCCATGTGCATTGACATAGATAGGGCTTAGGAGCACAGCTTTCTAGTAGCAATTGTAATTTATGTTCCAAGAAATCTAAACACTGTCGTCTGGGTCTGACAGAGATATTACTAATGATGCTACCTAATCCACTGAATGAGCTTAATATCGACTTTAGATGATACTGTATAGCCGACTGCTGAATAGCCAGGCATGATGTGCATGATAACGATATTGGAATTGTGTATCTTCTATAAACAGCACTCAGTGACTAATTAGAATTTCTGACCAGACAGCATCCATAATGCAAACTATCTCCTATATAATCAATATTAGCATCTCTATGTTTTACATACTGTGGGGTTTTCTACAAATGCTGCTGTTTTCTACAAATGTACCACACATTAACTCATGTGGAACAGATATTGATCACCAACTGTTTGATACTTTTTGGGGACCTGCTGAAATTTTATTTAGTCATTTCTTCTTCTAGCAATGGCATTCAAACTTTATCATCAATAATATGTTAATGGACTCATCTTCATAATTTCTTGCTTACTTGTAGAGTACTTGAGATGAGCAGTCATTATGCTATTATCATTTCAGCCTCCACTTTTTATTTCATTTAAAAAAAAAAAAAAAAAAACGCTAGTTCATGGCATAATTTTAAGAATGCTCTCTTATATTAGTTGCCAGTACCTCTTTCATTGCATATCAAAGACTGCATCTGATCTGATCATCATTAGGTGCAATCTGAAACATAGCTGCTTACTCTGAACCCTTCTGCCACTCACCATCCTTTTCTTCATATGTTAGGCAGCTACCTTACTTGTCCATACTATCACAGTTATTTAAACTCGTACTTCTTGTTATATGCCCAAAGGACATTATTTGTTTTCCTTAGCCAAGAGACTGCTGCTTCAGTATTTAGTGACTTTATTCTAGTCATATGCATAATCCTGTGTCAAATGGATTAACCCTTTGAGGGGCAGTATGTAAAATAATTTAAATTGTGGTAAAATTTTGCATGAATTGTAACTTATGGACCCTAAGAATACATTTAGACTTGGAAAAAGTCTAGAGTGAAATCTTGAATTTTGAGAGCCGCTATATATAGATTTATATATAAATTTCCGTATATAAATTATGTTGTATTTTTGAAGTTATTATATTTTATGCTTTAGGTAATATATAAAAAAGAGCATGCTTCATCAAAACTAAGAAAAAAGTCAAACATTTGCCTTCCCCCCCCCCTTTTTTTTTTCTTTCACTAACTGTGAATACTTATTTTGAAAACCATCTACTTGTATCCCGGCCTAAGGGGTAAATTTCTCTTGTGTTCCCTAGTTTCTCATCTGAAATTAACAAAGACAATATTCTAAAGCATGCTTTCAAATCAGCAGTTTTTCCATTCACTAAAAGACAGACCTAAAGTGTATTTTCTATTTCAAGTGTCTGTAGTGAGCTTTCCTTTTGTGTGATCCTATCACGCAGCCTCTTTGTGAAGATCGTATGACCCCTGCATGACAAATTAAATGTTGATCACTTCTTATCATTTTTGCTGCATTCTAAGATTTTGGGAAACATGAAGCCACTGCTGTCTTTTGGGGCTAACATGTCACATTTAATCTCTACAGTTATCTAATGTTTTGACGCTAGATGACAATTTTGAAATTGACGGAGGAAAGCGTGAAGTGGTGAAATTAAAATATTAGCTAAACAGAGAAGAATGAGAAACTCAACTAGAGTAAGCAAAGAATTAAAAAAAAAACTAAAATACTTTTATTCATTCTTAGCACAGGGTCAGTAAACTAACTTCCCATACCCCATGAACATAATATTGAATCCTAAATAACTAGTAAATTAATCATAAACAAATTATTACATCATAAACGAATGTAATATAAAGAAATTCTGTCATCTTACAGAGTACAGAAGGAGAAGTCTGGTGTGGTCATCTATTGGCATGGTGCCCTCAGTATGGGTGCCAGTATATTTTATATACCGGTCTTAAAATCGTATCAATAATCTTCTTTTAATTATCAATTCTGTCTGAAATGCAGTAAATATACACTGAAGTGCCACTGAATTATGGATAGACATGGCTATGCAAATTTTGTAGCGCTACTCCGCATTTATGTTCATGTGAAGGAGTTGTGGTAACTGTATGTATAGCTAGTACTATAGTTTTTGTTAATCAGTCATTTCAATTGCCAGTATGGGTAAAACTTCTGATTTAGACACATTCGATCGCGAACAGATTGTAGGCACTCGATGCATGGGACATTCAATTTCCAAAATTGTTAGAGGGCTAGGATTTTCAAGATTGATAATGTAAAAAGTATACTGAGATTGCGCAGATGATGGGAGAAAAAATAGCAATCGAGCAAATTGCAAAGAACAATCAATCTTGAACGACCGTGGTGTGAGACAGTTCAGCCATACTGTACATAGCCAGCGAAACCAAACATTAGCTCAAATTACCACCCAGATGAATCAGGGTGCCACTCGTATAGTCAGTAAACGGATCGTGCAACACCAGCTTCCCCATATGAGCTTCAGGAGCCGTAGACTCAAGACAGTACTATTACTCTCAGTGCTTGCCATTAAGCTGCACGTCTTACCTGGGCAAAAGAACACAGAGAATGGACTCTAGGGAACTGGAAATAAGTAGCATGGAATCATGAGTCTCAATTCCAACTGCATAACACCAACGGGAGGCTGAGAATATGGTGTCAGGCTTATGAAGTCATGGATCCTGCATGCCAGATTGAGAGTGTGCAAGGCATGGCAGCTCAGTCATGGTCTGAGGTGTTGGTCTTGGCAGTGTTTGGGATCTTTGGTACTTGAACCTCGCTCGATGCAATTTGGTACATAGAGTTGCTTGGAGATGACTTCCATCCATTTATGTTATCCTGCCATTCACACAGAAAAGAAGTATTCCAGCAAGATAACTGCACCTCTCACAGTCACAATTGGCAACTGTCGGGTTGGATAAGCATTCTTCTGACTTCTCTGTCACGAACTGGCCACCTAACTTAAATGCTATTGAGCACTTCTGGGATGTTTTGAAGAAAGGTGTGAAAGCACATTGCACAACATTAGCTACCCGTTATGAATTGTAAACAGCTCTAGCCAATGTTTGGCAAGCCATTGCCATGGAATACTTCTGCTAACTTTTTGAATCTATGCTTCACCATGTGACAGCCATTATCAAAGCCAAAGAACACCCAATTCATTATTGACTTGCTATCCCTAATTTAGTGGCACTTCAGTGTATAAGATTCAACATGTGTATGTCATACATTTGCAGATTTCAAATTTTTTCTCCCTTTCCAATAGAAATTATGAATCTTCAAACATGTTACCTTGGAACAAGGTATATTCATAACTGCAAAATATTGAGCATTCATTGGATACTGCTGCCATTTAGAATGAAAAGGAAACATTAGAAACTTATAATTACAGCTTTTGGTGTAGGAAAATTGGCATTTTTTAGAAGGTTAAAAAACTGACAAACATCTGGTATATTTTACATGCAGGATGGTTACGGGATTTGGTGCTCTTTAAAGGGTTAATTGTCAAGGAAGCAGATTTTCTGAGACCAAATGGAAATACATTGAAATCCAGCTATCCATGGGAAACCCCAATATCTAGGAATTTCTTTGTTTAAATATAAATGGGTAAATATCTCTCTGAAAAGAATTATTGCTATTTATTAATTTGAGATTTCTTGATAGAAAATATTCTGGAGATGGTATTATTTCCAATCACATCAAAACATTGGCAATTCACTAATTAAATCATATGAGAAATTATCATTACAGATAATATTTGACTATACAAAACTGGCAAAACTCACAACAATTATTCCTTGCTTTGAAGTTTAAAAATTAAATCTGAATATATGTTTAAAATAAAATTTGCCTTGCTAGTGTTATTTATATAGGTTTTGCTCCCTTCTTTCTAAAACTTTTTTAACTCGAATTTTTTATATTGAAATTTTATATTTGTTTTTCTTTTTCTTTCAGATGATAATGAAAAGTGGCCTGTTTTAGAATACACATATTTGATTTCATTTGCTCTACATGATGGGACAGGTCCATCATTCATTGAAGTATATTTGTGGCGAGAAAATGCTGTATGTTTTTAATTAAGGAAAGCTTATTACTTCAATATAAACTGTTCAGTATTTTTTTTTTTTTTTTTTTTTTTTTTTTTTACAGTATAACCTTTAAATTTTTCGGTTATAGGGATTTTATTCTATGAACTTTTTATTAATTTAACTCGCTCTTCCCCCCCCCAAATACATTTCTGTATGTTTTATTTTAGCTTTAAAAAAATTATTATTTTTATGGTTTTTATTAAAATAAAATTTATGTCTTAGATTATTAAAGCAAAAATTATGTTTTCAAATAAGTAATTTAATGTAAAAAAAATAAGTTCCACCATTGTTTGCATTAATCAGTCTGCATTTTTTATTAAAAAAGAGAGTTTTAAATAATCTTGTTGCAATCAGTATCTACTACTGATTTTTGATTAGTACTTATGCTTCTGCCCTATATCAAGAAGCAAAGTTTTTAATCCTTTTAAGCAAAATTGATTAACAGTATAAAAAAACATTTGAAAGTACCTAAATAAAGTTATTAAAATAGGTTCTTTAAGGGACCTTATAAATTTGATGAAGAAAGGTGACAAAAGAATTTTTTCAGAACCACATTGGGAATACTTTTTTTTAACATTCTGAAGTATGTACTTTTCTGGGAACAGAAATGAAAGATTGCATTCTGAAGAATTAGTAAGTTAGTTACTAATAACCGTAAGTGAGAAGTTTACAAGAATTTTGCCTTTCATAATAAGTGCCATTTCTTAAAAAATTATAATTATTAACTGAGACAGTATTGGATTTCTCATGGAAGAAATTTGTTTCTCCTAGAATAGTAGGAAAGAAAAATTGAAATGAAGTCGAAGAAATAAGAATGGTGCGTGCAACATCACATCTCCATGGATCACCTATGGATTTTGGTTTCACACACAAAATCCAGAAAGAAAAAAATAAAATAATAGTAATACCTGTACAGTGAGTGAATATCTAACACCAAATTCATGTGTATTTCATTTTCTCCTCTCCTTCCCTACTACACACACACACACAGAGAGAGAGAGAGAAAAAAGACATAATTCTGAAATAGCAGTAGGATAGAATCCTTACTGTTTCACGAATATATGTATGTATGTATTGTTAACAAAAGTTTACTGATACAGTTTTATATATTTTGAAATACATGTTTATTATTTCTGCAATAATGGGAAGCGTAACACTAAAAAGGGGGGAACTGAGTATTTTGAACTGCAAGGAGCAGCAATAAACTGCACAGCAATCAAAATTTATGAACTCCCCCCACCCCATCCCATGATTAACTGCTTAAGGACATAACTTAAGTTAATTCACCATTTGTAATGTATGCTGTTTCCTTTATCCTGAGATAACTTAAGACTAACTACTTTAACTGTATCAATCTTATCAAACTCATTTATGTTTAAGCAAAGATGTACAGTTATTGTGCATAACCAAGTGTACTCAGAAAGAATTCATGAGAGTTTCTATTACACGACAGATTATTTTAGACTAGAATAAGGTCCCATGCTTTGCCATGGACTAGAGAAATCATCATTTACCTTACAACCCTAAATTATTTAAAATTTGCAATAGACTTTATTTAAGTTACTGGTCGATAGATGGTGCCACTAAACTACAAATATGCTGGTAAATGGTAAATTCTTTCCACAGTCGAGTTGATTCTAAACTTTTGTATGTTCTTTAGTGATATTTTACACTGTTATTGTATACATTTAAAATGTTGGATGATGAAAATGAATATGAATATTCTGGTTATAAAATATTGAACAAGATTTAGGTGTTAGTGAGAGTAAGCAAAATGTGTGCTGTACCATGTTTTCATGTTTATCACACCACTGGCACCATATAAATTGTTTACCAATTTTAAATAAAATATGATTCCATAAGCAAATTGTCTTTTTTTATACAGTGCAATTGCTCAATCCGACTTAACTCGAGTTATGGATTTTTTGAACTTTTGGTTAACTATTTTTTGCCAAACTTGGTCCTTATTAGCAAACATATTTTTTGTTTTTAATTAGTCGCATTGTTTTCTTTTCAAATCAGCAGTAAAAAAACAGCAAATTTCTGGCAGCTAATTATAAAAGAATTCAGCCCACAAGTGGTTAAAGTAAATTTTCTCTTTTTTAGGATTCATCCATTCAAAATTACAAATTAGATTATTGCATGCTACAGTGTGAAAAAGTCTGTTTTGTATATTACTTGTTACGCCCTTTGTAAATGATGATGTCAATTCAGTTTCATAATAGTTTGTTTACTCAGCTTTCTGAATAAATGCATTAATTTGTTATTTTTATATAATGAGATTTGCTTTCAAAATTTATCCAAATTCAAAATGGGAAAGCTGATCTCATAATAAATGCACAAATATATTTATGTTTATAATAATGTTTTATTATTATTGAAAAGTTATTACAGACACATAAATACTAATTGAATTGTACACAGAATGCAGATACTTAATTAGTACTGTGAAAATGCTACTTCTGAATAAAATGTAAATGTAGTAAGTAAATACAAAAATAAGTTCCTTCCAGGTGATTTTTACTACCTTGGAATAAACTTGCCAATCTTAAATTGGCATAAGGATGATTTCTAGATGCATCAGAATTGTGGTAACTTTCAGTAATTTTGAAATGAAAGTAAAATCTTTAATGATTTAGGGAAGATATCATTGGTTTACTATTCTTGTGATCAGGGAGGTGGTCCCTGCCCCCTTAAGATTGCTATTGAATTATTGAGTTTTGAATTTCAGTATTTTCATGATTTTCTATGTTTATACTGATAGTTGGTTTATTATTTGCAGTATATGACTGACATTAGTTACATGCACTTCCAATTTCAGTTCTTGTATTTTGTTATTTTAGTTACTTACAGGAATATACTATTACTTCTGAGATATATTAGATAACTTCTGTAAATTGTGTAGCCCCAGGCAATTATTATTAAGGCAAACAGATGTCTGTAATGTGCCTGTACACATCTCATGTAGCATAATTTAATGTTGCACTTGTATGACGCTACTAATTTTCTTTATCGTATAATGGGAATTTTTATGATATAAGTAAATTTTTCTGAAATTTGATTTATGTTAATTTTAATATTCAAGTTGGCATGCTTTTTGTAAATGCTAAAATTTAAGTCCTTTTTTACCCCCTCATTTTTTTTATCCTGTTTTATTTCAGGTCAAATTTTTCAAAAACATTCATCCAGAGGAAGCTTTACGAGACAAAACTGTTGCAGATGGCATTTTGCATACATTGTGGAGCATTTGTCCAAACTGTAGACCATTTAATTTGAAAACTGATGGTACAAATAATTACAATCCATATCCTACATTAGATTGTTGTATATTGTCATATTCTGCTATTAATTGTACAAGATACCAGATGTTTGATACGAAATTGCTGTGATATAAATGTATATCATGTATAGTTGATTTTCAATAATTCTATAAATATATTTTAATAAAATACCATTTGATATATATGTATGAAATTTTGTTTTGTGTTGATCATTACAAAATTTTGTATACATTTGTTTGCCCTTTTTTAAAGATCCTTACCAAATGTGAATTTGTAAATCATGTGGTGTGATAAATTAAAGAACTGTGTGTAGGTATAAAGCAGTTTATTGCTTCTTTATGAGATTAGAAAAATAGGTAATAATTCATTAACTTTTAACTGCTGTGACAATTTTTTCGGCATAATTACTGTGAGCGGTCTCACAGACCACTTTAAAGAAACACGTAAAAATACATACTTTTATACCTTTTTAAGGAATGTTATAGATACTTTATGAATATTTATGGAATTCTAATTCATTTAAATCAATATATTTTAAACATAAATCATTTGATTTTATGCAGTTAATTTCATATAAAAATATGACTATTTTCCTCATTTTAAGGAACAAAATTTTTAAAGGAAAAGATCTTATTAAACATGCATGAAAATATGTGACTTTATTAAGTATTAATGTCAATTAAACCATAATTCTACGACAGTAAATTTAATTATGAATAAATAATAGATTAGTATATCTTTGTTTACAAAGATGAATTATAAGATGATATACAGTCAAAACACATTTTTTGAGAGCACGGAAGACACACTATTTCCTTGCATTCCGAGTATTTGTATGCTGTTTTTCTCTCCTTACAAGGTGGGCACAGACTACATGTTTTTCTTTCTTCTGATTTTACTTCTTGATTTGATAAATCCATTCTCTTAATTTAATTCTGTCCATGGATTCTTCTAATTGTTATCTTCAGTTCCCTTGGCAAAAAAAGCGGAAATTATCCGAACTTTCAAATGTGATTTAATAAATTGATTAGCTAATAAAAAGATAAAAAAGTTTTCTTTTCAGTTCTGTAGCATCAGGATATGACTGGAACAATATGTACTATAAACATAAATTGCAAGTATCTTCGGGCTTTGCTCTAGAGACTATTTTTGCAGGATATTTCAAACCAGGAAACTGAACTATTATGTTATGTTATGTTTTGGTGTTCGTATTGCCCGACTTGGTTCTTTTTTGCTTTATTCGAAGTGCTTTTTTCCATAAAAATTATCATTTTGTTTACAGTTATTAGAAAAATTATGATATTTATCTGCAGAAACTTTTACTGTGAATACTACATGATTCTTCAGAATCAGAGTATTCTATGTCAAAAATATTGACAAGATATTCAGTTTCTTTTTGGGTGAGATATAAGGGGCATTTTCATGTAAAATTTGAAGCCATATTTATCACCTTTACGAAAAACAAGCATCCGATAAGTAACGTCTATCGTCACTAAAACTGGTACGCATCTGCTACGAGTGGTCTCCCCAGGCACCTTAAAAAGTAAAAAACAGGGACCATTCTTTGTTTTTAGGAGTGGAAACGACTGTTAGAGAATCCCTCTCTCAGACCGTTCACAGCAGTTAAAGGTTAAAGACCATGAATCCTATATCAGAAAATAATAAATTGTTTGTCATTATTATTTATTGTCTCTCAGAATTCCATTTTACTTCTAATTTTATACAAATAAGAAATTTCATAAATCCGTCTGCATCCATTAAAATCTTTTTATTTTACTAAATGTTAACTGTATTTTCTCATTGTTGATTATTCATACACTGATTACCTCATGAATATTTTTTCCCATTTTCCTTGAATTCATGTTCCTGTTCTATCTTGTGTCACATAATAATATTTCATTCTGTGAATCTAAACAGATTACTGTAATTAATGAAATTGTGTCATACAGTGTCTTTAAATTATTGAAATTTAAAAAAAAAAAAAATTAGTTGCTTGCACAATGAGCCACTTAAAATATTTTTCACAATATCAGGACTGCTTGATCTTGGTGGCACACAAGCTGCATGGAGCCTTCGAAGTAATTTTATGCTGCCTGTGAATACACTTCCTGTAAATAATTTCGCACTATTATGACAAGAATTTGAAGAAAAAGTTTAAGATTTTAATGGCTTGGAGTCCAGTTACGCGTTATATTCAGTTCCGAAAATGAACATAACTCTTCGCAACATCTAGAAATGCAGCTAATTAATTTACGCTGTGGTTCAAAAATTTTAAGATGCAAACTTGATTAACTTTTATTAGTACTTGTCAAAAGATAAATACCAGGTGGCCATAATTAAACTGACAGTGCTCACA